AACAAATATAGTTATTGAACTTTTTTTTAAAATGATAAAACTAAAAATTATTTTTTAAAACAAGAAATAAGCAAGTCCTAATAAGAAAAAAAAAACTCTTCTCTTTACATATACTCTATATAATCTCTATCATATATTTAAAAAACTCAAACTATTGTGTCACATAAGATATAAATACAAACATTATTTATTCACTATATGGTAAGAAAAATAAAATAATACTTAGACACTTTTAAAATGTTCAAAATTTAGCATTAATAATTGAGCATGGCATGATATTCTATTCTAAGTCCTTTCTTTTGGTCAAGCGGGAACTAGGAACTTGGTTGTGGCTGAAGGGATATGCTTTCTCACACTCCATTTTCCTCAATTGTGCTTCACAGGACGTACTTTGGTATTAGGAGAAGAAAGAAGGGAAGATGACATAAGAAAATGAAGCACACTTAAAAAAAAAAAAAAGTACAATCTAAGTTGTTTTCCCTTTTTTTTTGTATTTTTTTTTTCAAAATATCCCTTTCTACTTTTACTCTACACTTCTTTTATTGTATCTTGAAAAAAAAAAGGAAAACAATCTATATATATATATATATATATATATATATATATATATATATATATATATATATATATATTATATGTTATATTATGATATTAAACATCCGAATGAAGTGCATATTTGTTTGATGTGAATACTGGATAAATAATTTTCCATTTATATGGTATTTGTGTTATGTCATTATATAAATTTATTTTTCATTTGAGTCCTTGAACTTGTATTTATTTTTAATTTAATTATTTTATCTAAGTTTTATTATAAATAATTAATAGTCTTACTCATTTGTCAATTCCTTCTTGGTCTCTATGAGTTGTATCACTTTTTACCATACATTTTCTAATCTCATACTTTAGAATTAAGATTTTTTATCGGTTTTTTTTTCATGAAGTTCAAACTAAAAGGTAAAATTATTGTTTCTATTGTTTCTTCATGAAAAATCTTATTTTGAAAGGAAAATGAGAACCTTTATAGCTTTTTTTTCCTGGATAATATCTAACATAAAAACATATATAAACTAATAATGTAACAAGTTTTTTAATCTTGATACTTAAAAATATGAATAAATAAAACATATCTAGATATAGATGAGGTAAATTTGAAATTATTAGGATAATTGTTAAATTATGGAGAGTTTAAAATATGTTTGAAACTCATTAGAACTTAAGTGAGTTTGATTCAATAAATATATTATTGAAATAAGAACTTATTTCTAATAGCAAAATAATATGAGTCTCAATTAATAAAGTAAAAATAATTTTTTTTTCTGCTAACAATCCTATTTTGCTTGATGTATATGGGAAATAATTAATTAGCTTTGAAATATCTTTAGAGTTTAGATTTTTATATTCTTCACCATTTTTACTATATGAAACTTAAATTTCAACATTATATTGAATTTTATAATTTTACGAATTTTTTTAAATAATAAACTTATGTTATTTTTAGATTTTATTAAGCATAACAAGTTATTCTTCTATCATAATCAATGAGAATAATAAATCATTCATAATCAGTTAAAATTTAAATTTTAAATGGATCTCACAAATCATATTCTATATCACTCTAAAAAATGGAAGACTTTTATTTAAAATTATAATGAAATTAAAGTTCTATGAGTCATTGTAACACACATCTTTCTTCATATTTTAATTTTTCTCCTAATATTGACTTAAATGTTTTCCCTTCATCACGATCGAAAACTGGATATTTGAAGGCTGAAATCGTTTGAACTAACCTATTTTATTATTCATTTATAATTCTAGTATTTGCCAAGAACATTGAGAAAAAAAATGTAAATACTCAAATGAAACATAATTGATATCACTATCAAATTTCATATTGTTTATTCTTCTAGTTGGATTTATGAATAGTTAAAATTTGTTGTAACTCCTCGACATAAGACTTAAAAATACACTTCTCTCCGTAAGAACCCAAGTGTACCACAAATAAAACAATTGTTATTGGGGAAATAAATAAATAAAAATTAAAGAACAAATAATCAAATAAAATCTAGATTTAAAATGTTAATAAAATTTAAATATTCTCCCCAGTTATTAGGATTTAGTTTTCATTTGCATTAAAAATATATATAAATGGTTTAATTTAGTTAACGATATAAAAAATCAATTATAATAAGATTTGTAATTTCAAATTCAATAACTCCTATATAATAAAAAATATTAATAACTTATCATAATTATTTATAAAAATTATCATTATTATAAATACTTTTTCACTTTCTTTAGCATTGAAGACTTCTTTCTTTTTAATTCTGCCATCCAAGTCTCATTCTCATTATCATATTTGATAGAATATTAAAATTTCTTTCAAATTAAAGAAAAAACAAAAAACCAATTTCATTCTAGATGATTTATAATTCATTTCAATTGATACTACTTGAAAGATGTGAATTCGAAAATATATGCATAAATAAATAAATATATATATATATATATATATATATATATATATATATATATTAGTGTAACTAAAATATTAAAAAATTAGAATGTTGGATTATTATACAATCCTAATTATGATATAATTTAAATAATAATTCTTTTGGGCAAAAAATTAAAGAAAAATATTAATAGTAAATACCGAGCACAATTTATATTATCATCTAAAATTTTTTAAAAGTGGTTTCATTCTGATTGATATGAAACTTTTCATAGTGACATAGTGATCGAGATAAATTTTTGTATTTATTGTTAAGAGATATTTACAAATATTTGAACTATAGAAGATATTTAAATTGTGAGTGTCAAAATAGATTTAGTTTGATAAATCGGTCCGAAATAATAGGATAGGCCAAAAAATTTATAGTATAAATTGATTCAAATTTATTTTGATCTTGTCTATATGAACTTAGACCAAGGTAAACTAATAGATCGATTCGTTTTATGAAATAATAATTTTTAAAATAAAAAATAATATTATTATTTTATTAATATATATATATATATATATATTATAAACTAATTTGATAGAAATTCGCTTATTACAAAAATAAATATCTAATAATCACTTCTTCTACTATCTAATTATTAAGATTAATTACTATTTTAAATTAATAAATTACAAAAATTAAATAATTATAATAAAAAGTAAGTTTTTAATTTTTATTTTGATATTTAATATATAAATTATTATATCTTAAATAAAAACTAATTTTATTAATAAAATTTAATTTTTTAAAATATACTTTTATTTTTAATTTTTATTTAAATATTTTTTTAATTAATTGATTTTTTATAGATATGTCAATTTTTTTTAATTCAATTATATTAAAATTAATCTGACCTAGAGTTAGATTAAATTTAAATTTTTGTCTCATTTTAAAATATAGGTCAATTGGACTATCAAATATTTTAACTTAATCAAGATTAAATTGTTGTTTTCATAACTCTAATTTAAACTATAAAAAAAATATAAAATAAGTAAAAAATAGAAATTAAAAATATATATGTATAATAAACACTGAAAACTACATGAACTTGTGATTTATATAGTTTTTAACTAAATGAAAGCCTCATATAAATAGTGGTGAAATGCCAGACCTTCTCAGTGTATTATATATCACAGTATGATTGGATAGAAAGCATTATCTTGAAAGGTGAGACAACTAATGTCATGTAATAATTCATTGATCTTACTCATTAATTGTCAAAATAAAAGTTTTTCACTTTTCTATTTTTGAGTGGTCTTCAAATGCCTTACATGAGTAGGTATGAATTTTGTATATGGATTAAGGGTATCTTTATACCCTTTATTTAATTTTTTTAATTTTTACTCCATCATGACAATCTAATTTATATTTGAATTATACTAAATGGGACAGTATTTTATAAAGTGATTGAAGGAGACCTCTTCAACTACTTGAGGCATCCGAAGGTAACACCCAAAGAAGTTAGAAGGGAGAAGAAGTGGTCGTATGAGTATGACAAAGATAGCCAAAGAATTTGTTCTCAAGATCTTGCAAAAAGGACTATGACTATATTCTAAACGCATAAAGGTTAAAGGGAAGATTTGGATTATGAATATATATATATATAAAATAAAAATATTATAAAATATTAAATATTAATAATATCTTAATTATAATGATCTAAATCAAAATAATAATTAAATATATTTTTTTATTATTTTTTTAAATAATATTTTTTTAATATTTAATTTAAATAAAAGATAATAAAATAATATTATCTTCTGATTCATATAAAGGGTTAAGTTGTAAGGCATATGGTCATGTCTTAACTGCTCTGTTGCTTAATATCAAAATTATTACCCCCATAATAGATTTTCCATTGTATGGCAATTTCTTTGTCAATTGTAAAAGAATTTCAACATAAATATTGCAAGTGTTCCCTAATGAAGAATTTTGTGTTGCCATAGTGAAGTAAGATTTGCTATTTATATAATTTCAATTATAGCAGCAACTAACCTGCTAATAAGTGAAGGTAGATGGGAAATTTAGATCCTAAGGACAGATCAGAAACCAAGTTAAAATACACCAATAACAATTCAAAGACACAGGACCTTCCTCTACACCATGGACCAATTTATATGACTAACTATAACAATTTCAATGTCTACAAAACAACCTTACTTTCGTATGTCAAGGTTGTCAGATATTCCATCCATGGCAGCCGATGCAGATACATTCTAGTGCTTCTATCTAAGTATAGCTTATTGGAAATAATTGATGGAGCATAAAACTCTTGCACATATGCAACTTTTCATAGGAAAAGAATTAGGGTATACTTGGATAAATTTCTCGATAAACACTTCTAGGCAAAGAAAGAAATATTTCCTTTTTCCTTGTATTTTTGTTGGTCCTAGAGTTACTTAAGAAGAAATTTATCCAAACAAATCCTTACATTACGTTCAGAAGTCATCTAGTCTTCTGTGTTTCTTTTTGTACATTAGGCCTCTGAACAGAACTTCATCTGTGAGCAGATGTGTGTGGCATGGGGTATGGCACAGGACCCAAGTTAATTGGTGCTCCAGGAACAACTGCCCCGGGAACCGGGGCACCGAGGCCATATGCCATGTGTGCCGGGGTAGGAAGGTTCACTGGGGTGCCGACTGCAGATACAAGGGGTCCTCCTATAGGTTGTCCAATGGTAGGAGCAGCATATATTCCTACACTTGGGGCAGCAGTTGGGGTTTGAGGGGCTGGTTTGGTTGATTTTCCAGCAGAGTTTGCAGCAGAACCATTTGTTTGACCAGTAATTGGTCCTTGAGGTGCTGAAACATCTCCATTGTTGACACTGGTGATATCATGTATGCTGGATCGCCTTCTATCTTTATTCATCGAGTTCAAACGAATGAAGTATTTCTGGGCATGGCTTGCAACTTGTGTTGGTGTTCTTGTTACTACAAAGTTCCTTGATATACTTCGCCAGTCACCTTTTCCATACTTCTCCAAGCCAAGAAGAAATAACCTGTTCAAGCAAAGCAGTTGGTAATTATTAGTGATGAAAATTGTAATTGAAAGCATGTCCAGATACCAGAAGAGAAAGTACCAATGAAATGTACATCAGTATCCACAAAATTTTCAAATCCACAGGCAACACCAGATCCTTAGTTTTTAACTTCCAACAGAAGAAAAACTCTAATGATCAAGGAATGTATCTAGTACATGAAAATTCAAGATAGCTTCATTCCCTATTGTTGGATTAAATTAACACTTTGCTTTGACAGTTATGACAGGTAGAGGTACCATAATCTCCATCTTTTAGTATCTCTATGGTTAATATGATTTTGCAGTCATATGATTAATCTTATGATTAATATTACTGAAAGTCATATCAACATGGCTAAACATCAAACTGAAAGCAAGAAAGATTCTATGTATATATTGATAATTAGACTTTTTCCATACCTAATTTTGTTCTTAGGAACAAAAAAACCGAAAGTAATAATGAGCAACCAATTATATTTATAATAAAGAAGTATATCCACTGGTACTATATTTACATAGAAACCCCATACTAAGGGAAGCAAAACTGACTCTGTATTTTAGTAATGCAGCATTTACAAATTGATTCAACAAGAGCTTGTATGGGCAAACCTAGAAAGCTCCTCATTGGGCAAAGAAAAAATAATCATGACTAAGCAAAAACGAAATCATCATCAGCGTGCAACTTATAATATTTTCTGTACAAACAACCACTTACCCTAAGCTACAAGTAATCCAAAAAACATATTGAAGTTTTTCTTCAATACTCCATGCTTTGATCTTAGCATTTCAAAGTTGCCCTTTGGAAGGGCCCTTGATCATTATGTCTATAATTTGATCTTCTGAGTTGAAGCTGACTTCCTTTTATTTTTCTACTTTTCTAATAGCATGATATTTTACCTTGATATGCATGGTCCTTCCATACTGAACATGATTCTTAAATTTAGCAATAGCAGATTTGTTGTCTACCTACATGATAGTTGCTCACCTACTACTTGTCCAACGTCTTATAAAAATTTTCTAAGCCAAATGTCTTGATTTTCAGCTGCTGCAGTTGAAGATTAAGCCCCTACATGTTTCTCTGAATTCCAAGAAAAAATACCACTTACAAATGTGAAAACACAGCCTTAGGTACTCGATGCACAACTTCCGACACTATCATTAGCATGACCTTGAAGTTCTTCACTTTCTTTTGTTTTAATTATGTTTTTAGTCTTTAAAATTTGGGGTATATCCTTTATTAATCCCTCAAATTAAAAAAGTTCATTTTAGTACCTAAAATTTAACAAAATATGGTTTTAGTCCCTAAATGCTAAATTTCAGGGACAAAACAATTTTTAAAAACTCATTTTAGTCCATCAAATTTAATGATTAAGGATAAAAATCATATTTTTTCGATTGAGGAACTAAAATTTATTTAAATTTGAGGGACTAAAATCATAATTATCTCTAATGTCAAGGATTAAAAGCATAATTAAGTTTTTTCATTTTTAAGAAATCGTAGATCATAGTAATACTATGATAGTACATAGTACCTCTTATGTACCTCAAAATTCTGTTCTACACCAAGATGAACTTGATTTGGAGAATGCATAAATTTAGATAGTTATTGAGTATTCCAGTATGAATTTGAAGTCCTACATTGTGTAAGAATGAGAAAATTGAGCAAAATATAAGGAAGTATAACCCATAACCTAATGCCTTAAGGTTTTGGGTTGAAGATGGTGTCATATTCTCTTATTTGGTTGGCTCATAACCCATTTGTGAGAATCTCCCTACTGTTAGCTCATCACTAGGTACTCATGGCTAAGAAATACTTCCGTTCGAGGGAGAGGTATATCAGTGTGAAAGGGAATCACACTTGAGGGGGAGATGTTGAGAATATGAGTGTAAGTTTGAAGTTTTACATTGTGTAAAAATGAGAAAGTTGAGCAACATATAAGGAAGTATGATCCATAACCCAATGTCTTAAGGTTTTTGGTTGAGAGTGGTGTCAATCCCTTATGTGGGTTGAGCTTATGTCTCATTGATGTTGTTCTCCCTAGTGAATATTCCTCGAAAGACCCAACAATAGTAAACTCGAAGGATATATTAAGTCTAGTCTGGTAGCTAAAAGATATAACAGATATAACAGGCTTCCAATCAGTCTTCTAACGATTAATACATCTCCTTTACTATCATCATCATTCTTGGATAATTTTTAATTTACAACCAGTGGAGTTGGAACAAACTTGTTTCTTTCCACATGGAATTTTCTCAAGATCTTTGAAGCATATTTCATTTACAACAAAATGAAGAATCTCTCTTTTGATTGGAGTATCTACATTCTCAGAAAATATTTCGTTCGTCCCAAATCATTGATTTCAAATTCACCTTCCAAGCCATTTTTTGAATTGGCTTAAGAGAATTCACTCTCAAACTCAATGACCAATAAATCATCAACATAAAAAGAAATAATAAGGTGTACTTCATCTTTTGAACACTTCACATACAAAGTGGCTTTATATTTTTTAAAATTCTTTTTTGCAGAAGATAACCATCAAGTCAATTGTACCAAACCCTTGGTGCCCGTCTCAAACCAGACAAGACTTTACAAAGCTTTTATGCTTTGTTTTCAGAAACTTTGAAACCTTCATGTTGTTAATAAAACACATTCTTCAAGCAAACCATTCAAGAATGTTGACTTCACATCAAAATGATATATTTTTTAGAAAAACTTGGTTGCCAAGGCTGCAAGCCAAAGCAACCTGATTGTATCAGCCTTACTATTGGAGCAAAAGTATTAGAACATGCTAAAAGTAGTTTTTAACCACTAGCGTAGCTTTGAGTTTGTTCACTAAACCATCATAGTTGAGTTTGATTTTGTAAACCCACTTAACACCAATTACCTTCTTATTGTTTGGTTTGTCTACACGATGTCAAGTTTTGTTCTTCTTTGTCATCTTGATCTCCTCTCCATGGTGGCTTTCCATTTGTCTGTTTCAAAACCTCAACATAGCTTATAGGCTCTATTATAGCCGCATTGCATATAACATAGATATCCTCTATCGTTCTTCTATTCTCTCTAGAAACAGTTTCACTCTTTTAGTCTTCTTCACCTTCAAAATTTTCTTCTTGAAGATTTTATTCTTCAAGCAATCTTTTACTAGGACCTTTAGCTTGACATGTTTACCAATCTCATCTTGGTAACCCATCAAACTTCACATTCCTACTTATAAGTATGTTTTTTTTTGTCTTCAAGAGTTATATATTTTGTAGTCTTTGGAGTTATTTCAGTGCCCCAAAAGAATTCCAACTACATACTTATGATCAAGTTTTTCGCTTATTACTTCAAGAATAAGAGTATACTATACACTTCCAAAAATTTGCAGATGTTCCATATAGGGGTTTCTTTCATACCAAACTTCAAAAGGTATTTTTTAAAAAAGCTTTGGTGGCCAAAATATGTAGTCAGTACATCAAGGTATTAACAGCCTTAGGCCAAGAAGTTTTTAGAAGTCCTTTCTTAAACAACAAACATCTGGTCATCTACGTCACAGTTCTAGTTTTCCTTTCACCCACTCCATCTTTTTTAGGAGTGTAAAGAACTGTAAACTAATGCAAAATTCCAGTATCTTCATAGAATTAAAAAAAAAAAAAAAATCTGTTGTATACTCATTATCAGACCTTAGCTTATAATTTGAGGATTATTCTCCTTTTCAACCATAGCCTTGAATCTTTAATAAACTAAAAAACACTAATGACTTTTACCTTAGAGAAAATACTCAGCAGACTCTTATAAAAATCACCAATGAATAGCAGAAAGTATTTACTTTCATTTAAGGATATTGTGCTCATGGGTCCAACGTAACAATGTTATAAGATGTCATTTATCAATGGTTGTCCAACTTACTACATTGGAGAAAGGCAATTTGTTTTGCTTTCCATATTGACATACATCACACATATCAACATCAACTTCAATAGTAGGTAGATCTTCAACAAAATTATTTGAGCTCATTTGATACGAAGTGGAATAGCTAAAATGTCTTGACCATTTATGTCACTCGGAATAGTCATCTATTTTACATGGAAATGCATGCATATTTTTTCTCTTCCCCTGTACTGGAAAGCTTTAACCCCTCATTTTAATAGACATTAATTCAGACCCAGATGGATCGTATATGGCACATTTCATATTTTCAAACACACAGGAATAACTTCTTTCTTGCATTTGACCAACACTCAATAGACTTTGATTTAATCCAAACACAAATAAAACATCAGTGATATTTGAGGGAGTTTTAATAGCAACAACTCCTTTGCCTTTGTTGGGTATTTTTGAAGAACAGTGATATTTGAGAGTGCTTTAATAGCACCAACTCATTTGCCTTTTGTTGCGTATTTTCAAGGAGATTCTCACAAATGAGATACAAGTTAACCATATAAAAAAATATACACTACATTTAACTTAAAACCTTAAAATTAGATTATGAGTCTTTCTCACTTGTAAATTATTTAATTTTCTCATTTCTATTTCAACTCACTTTTTCCCAACACCTTTGACATCAACACATTCTCTATTGTCAATGATGACTTTTGGAGAAATAAGTATGATCAAGATCCTTAAAGAGACTTTTATTGTGGGTCATGTAGTTTGTCCATCCACTATCTCTATATTTTTTTCCTCTTGCTAGTCAATAAAAAGTAGCAATAAAGAGTTGCTCCTCCTTCTGTTGATGACAGTGAACAACTTGAGCTAATTGTCCTTGATGGTATATTTTATTTTGTTCATATTCATAACAATAAACTGTCATATCCAGGTCTTATTGTTCATATTCATAAGTTCTACGACTTTGACTATAAAAATAAACTGTCATAAAGAACACAAGTATGACTAAAGGAAAAAAATTTATAACACCATTCACAAGTTGTGTCCATGATTACAAAATGTAAAGGGATAAATGGGATTATAAAGAAGAAAACAAGACAGGGAACACACAACGTCTATCACCAAAAGATACCAATTTGAAAAATGAAATAACTAATTAACTTGTGGGGACCCAAAATCAGAAGTTTTACTATTCCATTATATATTGTAGCTTTAAGAAGTACACAACTTAAGATTACTGTTAGTATGGACTACAGTTTAGTTCCACTTTGGAATAAGCAGCACAAGTGTTCTTGAGATACATAAATTTGAATAGTGTAACAATCAATAACCAACATGCTGATTCACTACATTATAGCAGCATCATGTTTCCATTATTAACTTAAGTGCTTCACATCAGCAGGATTAAACAATATCAGATATAAATTCAAAACAAATGTAGGAGAAATGAATAATTTTTACTTCAGAATGACCTTCCCAAAGAGAAGTCACCTTAAGTAATCCAGAGTACCATTGACTACAGGGACTTGCGTCATGAACTAGAAGGCATGTTAGCAACTGAAAAAGTCACCATATCGGCCAACTTCATTTTTGGGGCATGTTTTTAGGCTCAAACAAGAAACTGTTTTAGGGTTTTTACTATAGTGAATCATACTTCAATATTTTCATTTCAGAAGTTCATAACTTCACAAAATTGTTTAATGATTAACTAATCATCTAAACGTTTCTTCTCACAGTGTATTCTCGCATGTACACATCCCCAAACTATCATAACACCACTTTAAAATGAGATACTACTATTCCAATGAAGCATTAATACAATAAAAAATAAGTAAAATTTCAACTAAATATCCATGCCAAGCCATAGCATAACTACGACTTTGACTTGATCTTCCTCTAAACAGAAACTTTATCTTAATACCGTTTAAGTTTGTCACCATCTCCGGACGTTCAAGTTTGTGGTCAACAAAACAAATAATATGGAATTAACATCCAAGTCGGTCCTTGAGAGTAAAAGCTTGTGTATTTTTTTTATTTTTATTTTATTCTGGAAGGGCATGCCTATATGAATTGGTTCTTTAAAAGTTTCAACTTGCTATCATGTTTATCCATTTAAGTAGTTCTCAAGTTAAGGAATTCCATCCATCAAAGGACAAACTTTCAAACACCTAAGGAGGACACAGGTGCCACTTTTAAGGGCCAAAGTATATATCAACACAATAATATGTGTAAAACCATCTCAGTTTTAAGATCTCTTACCCCAGATACTCAAATTAACATTATCACTTGTTGCTAGCACCACAACATTAATCTAGTTAAAAACTACTAGAAGAGCATTTTATTTTGGAAATCATGGAGCATGACAACAAAAGGAGTAATAAGTAAGCTTCCAGTCAAAATAATAGTCTCTCTTCCACACTACGATCAAAACTTATATTCCTGAAGGATAAAAAACTAAAATAGTGTTTCTAAACACAAGGCACTGGTGTAACCCAAACAGATGACTAAAGAAGAAGTTTGTTTAGTATAATATTATTCTAAAAGATATACTAATAACTGTCAAGAGATTTAAGACTGAATGGAGAATAGGCTGACAAAGATCAGAAGAAATAATTAGTTAAGGCACAGAAGGATCAATGACTAAAAAATCAGTTCAAAGACCAACTACCTCTAAAAAGCATATGGTTAGAAAAACAAATTTGAGACAACAAATTCAGAAAATAACAACATTAACAATAAGCAACCTGCTTTGTGCTGTTTACCATGCCATATGCTAGAATATAAAGGTTTTCTAAATATTTAAGCAAAGATAAACTAACCTGTGTTCATCCTCTGTCCATGCAATACCCTTTCGTCGTTCCTGATCTGATCTTGAAGCCTTATTTCCATGATTTGATTCATTATTACTATTCCATGAATTGCCTCCCTTCCTGCCAGCTCCTTCATCACTAGGATGGCTTGCAGAACCCTCCGAAGAATAATTATAAGATGGCAAAGGTACACAACCAGATTCAATCTGGTTAACATCTTCAACCAAGACCTCGTAGTGGTGTTTAATCTCTTCCAAGGTTTTCCCTGGTACATCAGCCGCAATCTTTTCCCATCTGTCGGAAGCATCTTCTGGATGAATTGCCAGGGCATTTTCAAATGCTTTATCCTGTTCTTTGCTCCACTCGGAGCTACTAACCACTTCATCCACCGTCATCTAGTCTTGTTTGAATCAACTATAGAGATTTGTTTCAGAAGGTGAGGAAAGGTTCTATATAACAGTTCAACAATCTAGGTCAAACCCACACCTTAAAAACCACAAACACACTGGTTTGTCTCATGGGAGTTATGGATCTAGATTATTTCTTTGATGAGAACCTTAATATTACTGTGGTCTTATGCTAATCTATTGGAGCAGATATGTTGGAATAAGGTCCAGTCCAGGAGTAGAGCCAAGAGAGGCAGAAAATGTCAGAAAGCAGAACAGAGTTCAATTCCAACTAAATCCCAAAACACTCTTTGAGTTATGTAAACTTTCGATGGTGATTTTGCTTCAGAATTGAAAAACTGGACTCTTGTGAATTGCTTATCTATTAATGAATGAAAAGGCAACAAAGTACAGTTAGGGCATGAGAAATATCTGACAATCATTAATACAAAGATGCAATACTTGGCATTTTAAGGGAAGTGAAAATATGGACATTGATGTGAAGTTAGTCAATGAGATGGTAATTAGGGCTCTGGATTTCTAATACACGAAAGAGACATTTCATAAACAAACAAAGAAGAAAAACCGAGAAGACTATAATTGATAACAAGAGCATACTAGTTACTATAGTTCATACTATGCAAAAAGGAAAAATAGATTATCCATAGCCTTACTGATAAAAACAGTTTTAACAGCACAGGACCACAGAAATATATCTTTCCACCACCACAACTAAAACCTATAACTGTTGTAAATCTCACAATCACTGAACACATTCAACACCCTCATATTTTGTTTTCTATTCCTGCCATGTCGCTCAAAGTTCAAAGGCTACCCTGAAGACCATATCAAGGCCCAACCTGCAACATTAAGTGCTTGTCTACATTACTGTTTCAGAGTCTTCAAACGGAAATTATCACTTTCCCATGCAACAAACGTAGAAGTAAGTCTTTTGTGTCATTGAGATGAAAGTAAGTTTCGTATAATGTAATGGTTACACAAACACACCCTACGGCTTCTAAAGTTAAGGTTTCAGACAGACTAAGAACATTAGTGATCATCAAATGAAGTTTTTATTTCCAATAAAACCATACAAGAGTCTGCAAAACAAGTACAATCTCAACATTTTGATCAAACACCCTAGTTAGAACGTGGAACCCAATTCAACTTACCTCGTAACAGTAAATGAACTGTAGATTCCCTTCAGTTGATGTATTCCTATGCTTTTCTTATTAGAGCTAAAAGTGATTAGTAAGTATTCCCCTCAAAAACCTAGTAGGCCAAAGGTACAACCAGCACTCCCAGGCTTCTGACACTCTAACTAACCAACATGAATTTGTCTTTCACACCATTTAACTGATTCAATTGACAGTCAAGTAAAAAAGTTAAAACCTATTTCTGACTGTAAAAAACTTTGTGTCCCTTGTTTCCTCAATTTTTGGGTGAAAAAGAACAATCGTATAAATTTCAAAACATTTCATATTGATTTTAGCCCAGTTAAAAAAATAAATTAAAATTAATAATTATCCCAATAAAGGCAGATAAAGAGAATCTAGATATTAGGAAAAAAAGTAAAAGCAGAAAAGAACCAGATTTAAGATAAAAAGCCTTAACAGGGCAAGAATTTATTAAGGGCAGAACTAGGAAATCATAAATGACATTGATGGTTAATATCCTTAGATACCACAACGAGATGCAAGATGGGTCACAATTGGTCCCATCGTAACAACAGCTTTGCCACAAATAGGACAGCAGGGATGAAAAAGCCAGAACCCAAGTTGCAAATCACTGGAATCTGCAGGACGCATTAATATCTGACAGATGATAATACAACATGAAGAGAGAGAAAGAAAAGATTGAGGAATAAACCAAAAGGAAAGTTAGAGAGAGAAAAAGAATGAATTTTTTTTAACCCCTTTTGCTTTATTTTTCACATTCCAACAAAATTGAAAATGATATCAAGTAGCAGAAGATCAGGTAAGATAACAATCATAACATAGAATACAAGAGAATAAACAGCAGAAGAAGATTTCAATTTATTGCTATGAATTACGAGAGTTTGTGAAAAATAATGAAGCCAGGCCATTACCTTTATCTTCCTTCTGCTGTGCTTGCTTCAATCTTTTATATGCAAACTATCTTCAGCTCACAACTGTTGCACACAGAAAAGAGTCAAATAAAGCTATATGGGTCTATATATAGGTACTGAACTGGATCAGTGACATGCTTCTCTCTCATGATCTGTTGCCTTTTTTTGGAGCTTTGCAAATTCTTTCTGTTTATCTTATCAGAACAGTAAATGCATACAACTAATAATAAGTGTGTGATGGTTTAAGAGAACTAATCATGAAGGATTGAATGTTATCTTTTTAACATATTATTATATTATTATACATTGATGAAATTGAGTAATAATTAATTAAACGATGTTACTCTTTTGGCTGTTTTGGATAAACCACGCTATGCACCAAACCAGCCAAGTTGCAACACCTTGTGGTGAATCAATCATTGCCTACCACATCAGATGAAAGTCAAATTTTGCCGGCTAAAACGAAAGGACGACGAGACTGCACATGGTATGGGACATTCAATAATTATGTCTATTTTACATGCTACCAAACTTGTAATAATATTTCCATTTGAAAAACAATCTTGTACCAAATGTGGATTTTATCTCCTTTTCTATTTATCATTTAAATTATAGACTAAAAATTATGAATACTTTTTAAACATTACTATATGGGTAATTTACATAATACTTCATATCGCTTATCGTATTTAGGATGAAGCTAAGAAAAAGACAATGGAAAAAATAATTTGAATTTTGAATTTAAAAGAAAGTGAGAAGAAAGAAGAATTTAAATTTTATAATGAACAAAGTTAACATTTTTCTTTCATATAAGAAAAGGAGAATTTAAGCTAATTTTGAGTTTTATATAGGAATGTTGTGTTATATAGGGTTTTCCTTTAACTTTATTATATTTGTGCAATTAGGACTACAATTAAACTCGTTCCCGTGAGAGCCAGACCCGTTTCCGATCCGAAGTTTGACGGGAAAACCCGAGTTGATCGGAGGTGGGGACGGATTCGGGTTTTCCTCGCTTTAAAAAGTCGGGGGTGGGGGCGGGGATGGGTAATCCCCACCCCGACCCGGCCACGTCCCCACCCTAACTTTATATTTAAATTTAAATTTTAAAATATTAATATTTTAAAAATATTTTCTTTTTTTATTACATATAAGATCATTTTTTATATTTCGCCAATTTTTATTTTTCTTCTACCTATTTTTTAATTTTTTTGTCATTTTTAATCTTTTATATCAGTTAATTTATTACATTATTCTCTCTTTTAACTTTCAATTTTTCATATTTCCTTAATTTCTCCCATCAATTTGTTTTTTTTTTCAATCAATTTGATAAACACAAAGTTAATTTTTTTTATTCTTTATCTTTTTCTAAATATTTTACATAAATCTTAGTAGTAACTAATATTATTTTATTTATAATTTATATTTATTAGGTTTTATTATGTCATTTTTGTATCTTATTATTCTTATTTATCATATATCAAATTTTATCTTAATAAAATAATTGTATTTTAAAGGATTAAAGGAATTGATAATTTAAACTTTTATTACTTTGAACTAATTGAATAATAATTAACTTATTAAATATTTTCTTATAAACTATATATTTCATATTTTTAAATGACAACTTAAAAATGAATTAACTTGTATATATAATCAAATGTTTGAATATAGTATTATAATAATAATGTTATAAGTATTCAAATATTTGAATACGAGTATTATAATAATAATAATAATAATAATAATAATAATAATAATATTATAAATAAAAAATAATTAAATATTTCTTTTACATACATATTTTAATATAAATATAATAAATTAAAATGTATATTTAATTAATAATTATTATAAATTATAAATATTTATTTATATATAAAAAATAGATAGTAAAATTAATTTATTATAAATGTAATTATCTTTTTAAAAATAATATAGATCGGGGACTGGCGGAGGCAAGGAACCCGAAACCCGACGGGACGGGGATGAAGACTTAATTTCTAACCCTGCAGGGATCGGGGACGGGGACGAGGATGATTAAAAAGTCGGAGACGAGGATCGGAAGGCAAAACCCGCCCCGCCCCGCCCCGTCTTGTTGTCATGCCTACTTATTATTGAGTTGGGTTAGATGTTAATTGATTCATTGGATAGATTATAGGATGGTGCAAGTAATTAGTTAGAGAAAAGAAGTAATTTTAATTGTAATATAAGTAGACATTTGTTGATATATGTAAAAAAACAAAGAAAAAATTGTTTCACGTGTGAATAATGATCTATTATTTTGAGATAATTATCAGTTGTTAGGAAATACACTTAGTTTTAATATATTTTTTTAATATGAAAGAAATGATTAATTTTTATAAATTATGATAATTAGGGATTAGGGTTTTGGAAAAAAGAAATATATGTCTAGACTTTATAAAATATTATATATGGATATAAATATATAATTTTTACTATGAATATAATATAAAAGAATAACATTCATTATGTTTAAATTTGGGGATGAATTTGAGGGAGTGGAAAAGATGAGAAAAATGAGTTTTTTTTATTGAGATAAAGATAGTGAAAAGTTGAAAAAAATATGAATAAAAAGATGGCAATTGAAAATATGGACTTGAATGATTGAAAAAAATTAAATAATAAAATAAATTACCAAAATACCTTTAATGTAAATTTAATATAAATAAATTTAAATTTAAATATGATTTCATATAAATTAATTATTTAATAAATTAGATAAAAATATGTTAAAATTAAAATTAATTTAGATATATTTAAAAATACTTTTTTGATATCTTTTTAAATATATATATATATTATAATTTTTTATAAAAAAAAATATAGATACTATTAAATTGTAAAAAATATTTAAAAAATACAATGTAAATTTATATGTTTTAACATTATTTTAAAACTT